AAATATTAATTATTTATCATAGCTGTTTTCAAATTAATGTATCCAGCTAATTTTATGATTAATAAATCATCTTTATACTCACGCACTATTCAAAGGGTATTAAATAATTAATTATAAATAAGTACTTGAATTAAGTATTTATAAATAAGTATTTCATGATTTTAATTCTACTGATTAACATTAACAAATTATCTTTATACTCACAGACTAAGTTAATGTAAACGAAAGAAATGATTTGAAGAGTATAGGTAGTTAATTGTAAATAATATTTAGTGATAAATATTTATGAATAAGTATTTATGTTTATATCGTTAATTCTACTGATCAACGTTAATAAATCATCTTTATACTTACAGGCTAAATTAATGCGAATGAAAGAAATGATTTGAAGGGTATTAGGTAATTAATTGTAAATAAATATTTAGTGATATGTATTATAAATAAATATTTATATTCATGATTTTAATAAAACTGATTTACGTTAATAAATCATCTTTACACTCACAGACTATTTAAAGGTATTAGGTAATTAATTATAAGACGTATTTAGAGATAAGTATTCATGAATAAGTATTTATGTTCATAATTTTAACGAAACTGATTAACGTTAATAAATCATTTTTACACTCACAGACTATTTGAAGGGTATTAGGTAATTAATCATAAAGAAGTATTTAGAGATAAGTAATTATGAATAAGTATTTATGTTCATAATTTTAATGAAACTGATTAAATTATCTTTATATTTACCTAACTAATTGTAAATAAGTATTTGGTGTTTACGTTTATAATTTTAATTATACTAATTAACTATCTTAATACTCACACACTATTTGAAGAGTATTAGGTGATTAAGTATTTAGAGATAAGTATATGAATAAATATTTATGTTCATAATTTTAATAAAAATGATTAATGTTAATAAGTCATCTTTATGTTCATTAACTAAAATAATTTGAAGGATATTAGGTAATTAACTTTAATAAAAATGATTAATGTTAATAAGTTATCTTTACACTTACTAACTGAAATTATCTGAAGGGTATTAGGTAATTAATTAATTATAAATAAGTATTTAGTGATAAACATATATGTTCATGATTTTAATGAAACTGATTAATGTTAAATCACCTTATACTCATAAACTAAATTTAAATAAAATTATTTAAAGGGTATTAGGTAATTAATTAATTATAAATAAGCATATTTAGAGTTAAATATTTATGAATAAGTATTTATGTTCATGATTTTAATTTCACTAATTAATGTTAATAAATTATTTTTATACTTATACACTACTTGAAAGTATTAGGTAATTAATTGTAAATAAGTATTTATTTATGAATAAATATTTATGTTTATATGTCAAAAAAAACTCTTTCCCATAGATTATTTTTTACAAAAATAAGCAGAAAAATTTTTTAGCAAAAAGTAATAAAACTTCATAACTATTACAAAATACTCTTGCAAAAGAGTCTCTAAACACTCTATACTAGTTCTCTCACTATATAGAATTAGTTAAAATAAAAAGAAAATAGAGTAACACCAAAAACAAAGAAAACTATTCTCTATCAGAGGATACTACTACTCATATCTCTACTTTGCAGGCTAACACCAAGTTTAGTATTACTAATAATAATCTTATAAAATCTAACATAGTTGCTAGTAGTAGTAAAAGCTATATCTCAATACTAGAAAATAACAAAAATATAAAACTAAACAACTAAACTACTAAATGTCAAAAATTTAATCTACTTGAAACTTCTCAAATCTCAAAAAGTAAAAAAAACAGCTTACTTCTGTTAAAATCTACTAGGAGGTTACATGTTATATACAATACAATAGTAAATTACTAAATAAGAGGTGAGAATAATATAACTAATATTATTACTAATAATAGTAATATACAAATTTTTATAAATAGCAAGAATACATTATAAGTAGACTAATTACAGAATAGCTATAATCCTTTCTACTACAAAGACTTGATTTACCTTCTAGATACAGAGCTTCAATTAAATTCTACTATTGAAGAAAACTTCCATATAGCATGTTTAACTTAGCAAATATTCTACAGCTAAGCACTACAAGCTGATATAATAAATAATAAACTAATAGATACTGATAACACTGACCTATAAATAGATATCATTAGACAAAATATGTAACACAAAAAATTAGCTCTTTTTGACTACTAACTATAGTCACCAGACAAGATACTTCAAAGTTTAGCATTCTCTAATAGCCTCAAAAACTTCATACAATATAAACTCAAGACAATATCTATATAGTATGAAATTTCTCCTGCAATTCTACTAAAATTTGTACATAGAGATACAGTATTTTTTACAACTTTCATAAGAACAAAATAACTTAAGCCAGTATATCAAATAGAATTTGAACAGCTATTTACTCAAGTATTTAATAAATACAAAGAGTATAATAATGTAACTATTACAGACAAGCTAACTAGAGATCTGATATATACAAAACTAAAGCTAAAAATTACAATAAACTTCTTTACAAACACAAGCTTCAAAGGCAACTTGCAAAGAAGAATATATAATATAATTAGATATTGCAAAGGTTTTATAAAAGATACATTACTAATAAAATCTGCTGAACTAAGAGAAATCATTAGTCAAACTATAGAAGAAACTCTACTAGAACTTTCTGAAATATCAGACTTAATACCAAAGAAAACATAAGAGTTATTTCCTTTTGAGTTTCTCATAATTAGACACTCTAATATACAAGCTATAGTTATATATCTCTATACTCTATACAAATTTATAACTCTTTCTAATAGCTACTTTAAAGTTCTATTACTACTTTCTAACACAATAGAAGATCTAAATTCTTCTGTACAAGCTTTCTTCCTAATAACAAATCAAAAAGAACTTTGCAATTTAGAATTCTACAAAAGAAAACTCTAAGACTTCTACGAGCTAAAAGAAATCTTTACAACATTTTTTGATCTTTCAAAATCAAAAGAACCTTTTCCTCTAGTATACCAAAAACTCAACTCATGAGTTAGAAACTTTTTTTCTATTAATCTTATAGATTCAAATATTCTATTAATACAAATAGTTAAACTTCTGAGAGAGCATTATACCGTAGATTCCCGAAAATAAGCTACCTTTTTTTGGCTAATTTTAAATTAAAAAAATCAGAAGTAGCTTATTTTCGGGATATAGAAGTTTTTAAGCAATTTATGCTTAACGATAGGGTAGCTTATTATCAGGTATTTATTTTAAAAAACTAGTTTTGTTTTTGTATAGCCTTTGTTTTGCTTTATTTAACTTATTTTTACTTGAAATATTTTGTTTTATATGACACTCGAATTCACAAAAGCAGGTATATCTTAAAAATTTTTTGTAGAATCCCTTTTTTTTTTAAAAAAAAAAAGAATTCGTCATTCAATACACAAAACTTCAGTTTTTTTGACATTGTTACGACCAGAGGATAAGCTTTATATCTACGTAGCCAATTTAGCTTAGGGTTATAAGCATTAAATTGAGAAACCAAATATTTTATTATCGTATACAAGGCACCAAAAAGTACAAATAACACAAGCGATACAAGTAAGTATCTTATTATTATATTCCAACACCTGATATACTAAACAAAGCACCAATATCTAATCTCTAACTCCCAAACTAAGACTAAAAATACGTACAAATCTACCAACTACCCAAAGTACTATAACCCTAGATTTATAGTTACTATTAGGCTCTAAATAAGTTATATACATGTAGTATGTATAACAATATAAAGTCTAATTAAAGTGCGCTTTATGATTATAAACTTCGCATAGACTACATATCATAAGGTTATACGAATCAATTATTACTTTGTTACTTTATTTATAATCTGAAAAGAATAACAATCTCAATATACACAACGATAAATAAAGAATATCAGCTTTAGTCAATAATTCAAAAAAAATGCCACTTGCTACATGTGAAAATTTCACTTACATAATGACTTGAAAAGGATACACAGCATAAATATTTATGCATTATATACAATCTTAAAACTGTTGAATTGTTGTTATGTTAAATGTTAGAATACTATCAATTAGTTGAATATTATCAATTAATATGAAAACCTCAAGAATTTTTTCAGTAAAAAAAAAAAAAAAATGTAATAAAAATCAACTCTTTTACTTACCTAACATAACTTTGATTTCAAAAAACTAGGTATAAATTTTTAGAAAAAAAAAAAAATTACTTGCCAAACACAATAGAAAAAAAAAACTTTACTACTCATCCTTTTTTTTTCTAAGAAAATTTTTTTCTTGTCAATCCAGTTTTAAAAGAACCTTCAATCTTTTTTTTTTTTTTTTTTTGAAAAAAAAAAATGAAAAGGCAAAGAAATTCTTATATGGTCGAGGAAAAAAATAAGGCCGTGGAATTGGCTCGTTATACTTCAAATTTATATGCAGCATAGTACTACTCCCTGGATTTAACCATACTTGGTCGTTGGGTTAAGAAGTTTTCTCAAAACCTACTTTCTTTTTCTCAAAAAAACGTGCGAAGCATTGGCTCTGGACATCGCTCACTTTTTCCTGAATAAGAGTCTCAACTTTTTGAGTGGATAATGGAAGTTCACCAGAATGGTCTCGCAGTTACTTACCCTAATATAAAATTTAAAATGGCCAAAATCTTGGATAAAAGTACTAAACAAACAAAAGATAAATCTAAAAGGCTTGCAATTGAAAAGTTTAAGCTCTCAACATACTGAGTTAGTCGTTTTTTAAAACGGCATGATCTTTTTCTCAGACGTAAGACCAAAATCGCACAGAAATTACCAGAGGATTTTGAAAATTAACTACTTAACTTTCAGCAGTTTGTTATCTACTTTCATTAAAAAAATAATTACCCTCTTGAAATAATTGCAAACATGGACGAGACACCAGTTTATTTTGATATAGCAGGTGCTATGACCATGAACACCAAAGATGCAAAGACCATTCATGTTAGAACAACTGGAAATGAGAAGAACTGATTTACAGTAGTCTTCACATGCCTTGCTAATGGTAGAAAGCTACTACCAGTCATTATTTTTAAGAGAAAAATTTGGCCAACTAACACGCCACTACCTCTAGCCGATGTAATAGTTTGGTTTCAAGAGAAGTGATGGATGGACGAACAGGGAATGAATCAATAGATAAAATATTGGAATAATTCTCGACCAGAACTACATAATTCAAAAGCATTGCTAGTCTTTGATTCTTTTTTAGCTCATATTATAGATCAGATAAAGGCAGCATTACGTTCAGGAAATACAGATTTGGCTGTTATTCCCAGGGGTCTTACTAGTATGTGCTAGCCTCTTGATGTTTGTATCAACAAACCTTTCAAAGATAAGCTTCGTAAGTATTGGCATAGATGGATGACAAATGGTGGCAATGGTATGACTAAGAATGGAAACTTGAAGTATGCCGATCTAAACACAGTATGTCATTGAGTTTTGAATGCTTGGGATGATATTTCTGAAGACATTATTATCTGAGCATTCAAAAAATGTGGTATCTCCAATTGCTTGTTGAGGAGTGAGGATCATTTGATTTACAATGATGACGATGAATCTAATAATGAGGAGGAATCTGATGAAGATGAAGAGGAGGAATCTGATGAAGAACCCGATGAATAATCTGAAGAAGAACCTGGTAAAGAACCCAATGAAGAAGATAAAGAGTCTGATGAAGACTATGAAACTGGTAATGAAAATGAATCCAGTAATAAGATAGACAATCATAAGTGGCTAGAGTGCTGGGTCGTTGTTTGAAAGGCTTAATTTCATGTATTATACAGAATAAGAATTATTATCTGAAAAAGCATAATTTCGCATATTTTTTTAGAGTAAGAATTAAATTTTATTAATCGGTTTATATTTCTTAGCTAAATATGTAGGCGCAATATTACCACTTATTAGTTAGCTTTTTAGTTAGCTTTTCATTATATATAATAGTTATTGTAATGATAATAAAACGTAATAAAATT